ATCTACAGGTCTTGGGTTCTAATCCCATCATGTACCAATGTGATTTTAGAATTTCATGTCTTACTTATATTATAAATGCGAAAGTTTAGATGGATGGATGGATAGATGTTTGTTAGAGTTTGTAGCCTAAACGGCTGAAGGGATCTAGATGGAATTTGGCACAGATGTAGAGGATAGTCTGGAAGAACACATAGGCTACTCACTTTTGTTTTTTTTTTTATTTCGCGCGGACGGAGTCGCGGGCGAAAGCTAGTGTAAAATAATTTATCCGACGTTCTTACGATGAAGGAAAACATCGTGATGCACATATCGACGAAGAAATTCAAAGATATGTGTGAAGTCAACCCGCAGGGGGCCAGCGTGGTTGGCTATGGCCTAGTCACCCTTTAATTATGCTCCGAGCCCCTTAGTGGGGACGTATAGTGAGCTGGTGATGATGAAAAGATAAATCAGTTAATTTCACAGAAAGCGTTCGCGTAATGCACGTATATTTAACACTTCCAGTTAAAGTCCTCGGGGAAATCTTTTGTGTTTTGCTGACGGCTCTGACCTTGTCTAAACCCGCACTCTCTCGGGCCAAGTAACTTGAATTACTCTTGTAATTAATTGAAGTTATATGAGAACAAGTTATGTGAACCTTAAAAAAACTAGTCATTACTATGTCTCCACTGAGGGACTCGAAACCCTTAGCTGACTAGGCTTGAGTCTATATTTTTTATACCATATTCCATAATACATAATTAAAAAATTGCTTTTGCCTGCGACTCCGGTCCCGTGGAATTAAAAAATTAAAAGTAGCCTATCTATTCTTCCATACTATGTTCTACGTCTGTGCCAAATTTTCTCTAGATTTGTTCAGCCGTTTAGGCTACAAACTCTAACATCCATCCATCTAAACTTTCGCATTTATAATATTAGTAAGTTTCTATGTATGGATGGATGGATGGATAGATGGATGTTTGTAGCCTAAATAGCTGAACCGATCTCGGTGACATTTAGCATAGATTTAGGGTTTGGTATGGTCCATCTAAACTTTCGCATTCATAATATTAGATTGGATATCTACATATCGATCACAAGGAGAAAAGCTTAAAAGAAATGAAACAAAGATCCTTAAAAACATACCTAAACGAATACAATCGCACAAAGGATCTTATTGTTTCTAAAATATCGTTGAAACGACGTCCGTTCCTTGCTCGCTGTGCAAATGGGGCGACTTAATTTTCTGAGACAAAGGATACGCCGCAATGTAATACGCAAGGAAATGGCAGCCGTTTGGTTTGTTTCGTAGCGGTGAAGGCATTTCCCCTCTACGACCTCACATTGACGTTTATTTGGTTTTTGTTATTTGAATAGATGTTTTAATAAAATACAATTTTGCAACCCCAAAAAATCTTACTTCTTACTTCTTACTAATATTATAAATGCGAAAGTTTAGATGGATGGATGGATGTCTGTTAAACTTTGTAGCCTAAACGGCTAAACGGATTTCGATGAAATTTGACATAGACGTAGAGGTAATCTAGAAGAACACATAGGCTATTCAGTTTTGATTTTTTTAATTCCACGCGGCCAGAATCGCGGGCGGAAGCTAGTAAGACATATAAGAATGTTTGAAGAGTTCTGATTTGTTAAAAATCTGGAAGCTAGTCAAAGTAAAAAAGAGTCAATGTCAAACACTGGTCATCTTCCTTCTTAGCTTACTCTGGTAGGGTCGTCGCAACAGGTTTTTGTCCTCAACATAACTTTATCATACGTCATCTCAGTCATCACTCCCTTCTTGATCTCTCCTTTCATGATATCCATCCATTTCTAAGTCCACCTCTGACGGTGTTCTCTTCCATTTTTAAAACTAACATTCTTCTTGTTACATGTTACTTGTTACATTTAATGTACTGTCTAATTTTTTGCTAAGGCTACACAACTTAAGGCTGACAGTGATCTTGTAATTAAAAAGAAAGTGGCTTAGTGAAAATGGACAATTTTATTACCGTCCAAACATCTTAATTCGATGCATGTAAGCCTACACCATAAAAACCATCTAATCCTGTTTTACGCGGCACCGCAATTTCCTGTTACAACCATAAAAAGTTTAACTCGACATTTATTATGCATGCTTTTAATTTTCTTTTTTATTACAAGTTACTATATATCAAAACACTAGCTGTTCCCCTGCGGCTTCGCCCGCATGAAATTATTTGTAAATTTTATTTTATTGTTTACATTTGTCAAATTAACTTGGCTATTTTGCTTCCTTGATGTTGGCAGTAACTTATGGTCTCTTTCCCACATTAGGGGTTTATCCAAAATATTTACTCCTTAAGTTTAATGGCGTAAAAATATATAGCCTAAAGCGTGACGTAAGTATAGGGCTTTTTATTAAAAAAAGAATTATTCAAAAATATGCTGTAATTGCTGACATCTTAGGCAACAAAGATGTGTGTTAACGCTTTATTATAATAGTATAGACAAGTCTCTAGAATAATACTAAACGCAGAAATCCAGATACCAATAAAATAGTGTAATGGGCATACCATATACTGGCACAATACACAAGCAAGTAAAATTTCAAATAGATCGTATAAGAGAGCGCACAACTTTGACCAAACTATCGCACAACTGTTGAACGATTGTCTATTGATTCGCATGCATAGACATGCCTCTGCTACCAGTGCCAGTTACATATCTATTCTAGGTGACGTGATGTGCCTCGAAGGGGGACAACCGGGGTCTATAATGGTTATCGGTCAATTCACGGAACCCTGTTTTACATCCGTTCCTTCAGGCAACTAGCCCACCGGCATACGGTAGCATAGGTCGAGAGAGTGAGTTTGCACAACTGCGTACTCGCTTAAATCTATTCACTCGTAGAACCTTGGCCATGTCTTTTATTCAGGGCATAATGGTAAGCCCATTTTCAAACTTTACCACTTTCTGTCAATGGTTTTATTATAAAAAAAATCTTATTTCACAGGTATAGAGATAGAATACAGTCTTTAAAATGCTATAATGCTAAACGCAGAACAATTCGCGGTCGAAAGCTAGTCTAATTGTTATTCGATACAATAAGCTACAATCTACTAATGCAATCAGCTCGGTTAGCTAACGAGCGCTCGACTCGGCTTGTTACTGGTTTGTACAGTACCAATAAGATAAGGGTATGGTTACACTGATTGCGTAAACTGAACTAATTTTGACGAATTCAATGTCAATCGATTCATATACTTCTCTTCAGTCTTAAAGTGTCTTTCAGTCGGTTTATTATTTTATTAATAAATAGTATTTTTGTTCTTTTCACAACATTTCAACATTATGAATAAAAAAGACGGCTAACACATTGTATCAAATAAATACATGCAGTGCCGTCACAGCACATGTTTGGGCAACAGCCCTGGGCTCTGTACAAAAAGGACGCCCCTTTTCTGTGAATTACATAATTCTACATAACGAAGTCATAAGCAGCATTATGAAGGGGATTCAATAGTAATCTAGCCCAGGGCACTGATAGTGTTGATACTGGCCCAGGGCGCATTATCCGTTATTTTCGTTTACCGCTTACCATCTGGACACGCCTTTACAAACAACACTAAAGGGAATACAATCTCTTGTAAATACTAAAATTTTGATGACTTGTAGCTTTTATTTCGTTTAGATTGTTTACGATTGCTGACTGAATGAGTTTCCCTAGAGAATAGAAGAATGAATCTACCGTTAAAAACAAATTAAAAAATACATTACGCCGCAAGCCTATAGGGTAATCGTTAATATTCGTCTATTGAAATTCAAATAATATTTTCAAACTGTTTTATCATTACAAAGCTAGTAGCACCATCTATTTTTACGTAACACCATTTAATATTTTACAAAGTGTTGGTTTAAAATAATTAGATTAATAAGGGTCCACTTGCCCTTCTTAGTATGGTTTTTACATCATTCTATTAAGGTCATATTAATAATACTTATCCTTACTTAACCTCTATATTCTACATGTCCTCTTTCAAATATTGTTTGAAAATAATTAAAAAACACCCACTCAATCAAATCCAATTCTCGAAATCATTGACCTATAAAAGGGACGATTCTTTCAGATTTAAACAAAGACCTTTGTTAATTCTGTTTTGTAGCGTCGACCCTTTCCTCTATACATACGTAAATATCTTAACTTCAAAAGCAAATGGTATATGTAAATTGTGTAAAGTGCTATATTATTAAAAAAAAAGTAGGTAGCTGAAGTGTTCTTCCAGACTATCCTATACATCTATACCAAATTTCATCGAGATCCATCCATCCATCCATCCATCTAAACTTTCACATATACATATAATATTAGTTTTAGTATGATTAGCAGGATTATTTACATTTTGTAAGAAATTAGCTGCCTAAGATCTTTTTAAGGCACTTATATCTTTCTGATTTTTACTACTCAGAACATTTTCGACTTTTAAATCATTTTTATAACATAAGGTGGCAAACGAGCAAGCGACCACCTGAATCCACCAAAACGGCGAAGCGACTGCTGCCCATAGACATCCGCAATTGCAGATGCGTTGCCTACCCCTAATAGAAGAAGGAGACGCACATAAAGAGTATATTTCCCCTTCATATGCATCTCCTCCGCCATCAAATCCACTTTCCCTTTCCATCCTTTCCTTACAAGAAAAGGGTGATCGATAAAGCGTTAGAAAATCTTGTAATCCTTAAACCCTTAAAACTACATATATTTTTTACCAACTTTATTACCTTATTTTTATATTAACAGTATATAGGAAGTAAGAAAAACTTACAAAAACCAGTAATGTAACATCCTTTGCCTCGGGCCACAAACAAAATTAGACAGCGGCAGTTTACACTGAGGGGCAAATTGAAATTTGTTAAGTGAAAATTTTCTTTCTTCCTTCACTTTTATTATCAAAGACCTAATTCCCTTTTCAAGTTTCAACGGGAACAGACGTTTCTTTATCTATCATAATTTTTGAAGAAATTCCTAAAATAAACGAACAATGAATGTTGTACAAAATATGGTAGGTTCTTAAAGATTCACAGACTTTTGGTTATAATCATTTATAGCCTCCTCAGACTATGGACTCCTCCATACCACACCTCCATGTCATACTAATTATTATAAATGCGAAAGTTTAAATGTATGGATGTTTGTTAGAGTTTGTAACCTAAACTACTGAATTGATATGGCATAGATGAAAAGGATAGTCTGGAAGAACGCATAAGCTACTTGCTTTTGTTTTTTTAATTCCACGTGGGTAAAATCGCGGGCGAAAGTTGGGACGTTCATACTTGTGTATAGCAACACCATTGTTTACTGTCATGGTGATTTTACAGCAACTCAGACCTATCCTGACAGCTGACGACAGTAGATGTCTCCAGCATCTTGTACAATATTAAGTGCCCGATAAATAAAAATAAATTACATTAGTTTTAATTACATTTTCATTACAGGTATCTGATGACATCGGGTACGTGATATACTCTGCGCTGGGCAGCTTCTACATTCCCTCCTGCATCATGGTGTTCGTCTACATCAGAATATACTACGCGGCGAAAGCGCGCGCTAGAAGAGGCATCCGAAAGAACCCAAGGCCGCGGCCTGTAAGTCGTATTCATTGTCAAATAAACTTATAATAAACTGATTATAGTAAAAAGGTCGTGGATTAACTGTACTAATTATAACTAGATGACGTCACAAAAAATCCTGTGAGGGAAAAGGATACAAATATGTTTATACGGGAAATGTACATTTTCTTTTTCATCGCTTGTAAATATTCACGAGTTAAATTGTGTGAATATTCTTGAACCTACTTTTGTCCAACTGTTCGCGCGAGCGCCAGCCATATTTTAATAGCATCGAATAATTTTTAGATCACCGTCACGAAACATGTATTTTAAATTTCATTCAAAATTAGCTGGCACTGTAAACGCACCCCTCCTGGAAAATATCTTTTTCAATTTCTACAAAGTTATATCGTCGAAATATTTACACCAACTTTAAGTGCAATTAGAGTTTATTTTTCAATTGCAATCTAACTAAATTCATGAAATTATATTCCAGAATGAACAGCAGACAAGTTTTTCAAATCCAAAAGGCACACGGCCCATGCCTACCACGTCGTCACTGCACATGCCACCAGGAGTTGACACAAACAACTCTAATAATAACAGGTATTTACATACATACGCCATAAAAAAGTCAGTCTTGTATTTTAAAATGATAAAATAATCACAATTTTAATACTTCAAAATGTTTTAAATTTAATACAATACCAACTAAAATCTACATCAAAGGATTCTAAACAGTTCTGAATATGACAATAATAGCAATAAAATTGAAACAAAGAGATTAGTTTTAAAGTTAATTCTACGTAACGGACGGAGACCAGGAGAGCGTCCTCTCTCAAGGTGGATTGTCGACACAGAGCGCACGGCGAAAAGTAGTTAGATACGGAAGGCGGGGGACCGGTTTCTAAATAAGGCGTGGAAAAAGTCATATATCCAACAGTAGGCTGATAAAGGCTGATAATGATGATGGAGTAACAATTAATATGTTCGTATGTTCCAGGGAGGGACAAATTTCAACAATAGAGACGCAGCAAGTGCCAATACCGACGGTAACGTGCGACTTCGCGTCAGACATCTCGACCAGCGAGGCCGGCGATCCCGGACCACAGCCGGATGAAAGGAAAGATACGCTTAAGGTTTGTGACTATGAAGGAATTATTTCTGACTTTTAACTAACCTACAAAGCCAATTGCGAGGTTCCATTTTATCTCTAGGTTTGTTTAAAATAAGAGTAACTTGTGACATTACATTTTTTAATCCTGATGTAGATTCTTTGTCTTAAATCAATACGAAATAATTAAATCGTTGCCATAAAAAGTTACACATATCAAAATGCCCTAAAAGTTTTTTGTAATACGACAAATGGGCAATCCATCAGTGAGCTTACTAGATATGATTTAACCATTAAGTGTAGGATTTTTTATATAAATTTCTTATTATTCTCAGGTGGTCACATGCGCACAGGTAACAAGGAACCCGCTAGCAGCGTGTCCGTACAGAAGTTCGACATTATCAGTCAACGGGGAACTGCAACTCCAGCAATCGCAACGAGGTAGAGCACCCAGCATGGCCATAGATACAGATATGGTCTCAGAACTGGAACCATCATCGTCCGATTCAGGCGTAGCCACGCGATGCGCGGTCGTAAAACCACTAAAACTAAGGATATGCCAGCCTATATTCGGTAAAAAATCAGATTCAACAAGAAGGCAAGAGAAATCACAGCCAACAAAATCTGAATTGGAACCAGCGCTACCAAAGCAGCATAAACCTAGAGATCCAGAAAGAGAGAAAAGAAGATTAGCGAGAAAGAAAGAGAAAAGAGCAACGTTGATATTAGGTTTAATAATGGGTAGTTTTATTGCTTGCTGGCTGCCTTTCTTCTTCCTTTATATCTTGAAAGCCGCGTGTAGATGGTGCGTTATACCATCCAGTGCGTTTGCTATCGCCTTTTGGTTGGGTTATATGAACTCTGTATTAAATCCAGTTATTTATACGATATTCAATAAGGATTTCAGAAGAGCGTTCAGACGGATACTGTTCAAGTGATGTTTGGCCTACCTGTGTTGCTACAGTTGCGTTGCTAATCGTATCTTGCAGGCGCAGCAACGAGCAGCACCAGGTCTTTACAACGTTCGTTAATCTCTTTGACTTTCGACGCTTTCTTCAGTGTCGGTTGTGTTTATTTGCCGTTTGCATAAAGTGATATTATCTTCGTGTAGTTTATACTGAAATTGTACAGTTATTTTAGGTTATATTTGGATTATTGTTAACTGTATGTAGTCTATTCAATTGTTATTCAAAATTATTTTTTTAATTCTATTTCGTTGATTATTTATATTCTTAGGATATTTGAAATATTGCAATTATTTTCTTATTATTAAGTATTTCATAGTTAAAATTAAAACTTCTATGGAATTGTAAAATAATTACCAGTAGATTTATCTATAATATATAAATATTGTATAAATAATTTAAAACTGCAAAATCACTGATGGATTTGAATTGTAGTATGTACTATTAGATTTTCATGTAGATTATTAAAATTTAATGAAGATTTATAGCTTTAATAATATTGAATATTTCAATAGCTTACTCGATTATTCTATAATTATAATCATAACTATTATGTGAGGGATTTCTCTTACAACCCATACGCTTATAATATGTACAAAGTTTTCAGTGTTCGTAAATTCTTTGCTAGTAATAATTTATAATAGGAAATAAGCTGTTTGTCATCAATTCTTTTGTTTTAAACATTTAAATAGATTCATTTCATGCAAGATTTGTACTAACCCAGAAATCACTAATTGTAGTATACTTCTGCCTTTGTTACCCTGGATACAGTATCTTTAATTATAAATAATATGGTTCTACTTAATGGGTGTAGTTTTTCAAAATAAATCTATAATAAAACTAAGAGAAAGAAATATACTGGAATAATATTGTGCCTCTATATTAAATCTTTACTAATAAAAGTTAACAAAACTTGAGTTTTCGCTATTTAATAACTTGTAAAAATCATTCAAGTAGGTTTTTTCCAAGATATTTCATGTTTAGTTGGCGTTTAACGCTTTAAAAATCAAATAAATTGTAAATATTGTAATTAATAATTAAGTTGTAATATTTAATAATACCAAAAAAGAACACCAAAAATTTGTAAATAAGTAGGAATTAATTAAATTAATCAATAAAATTATCTCGAAAATTGTATACGCTAAAACTATTAGCAATGTTCCTGAATAAAGCAGTTTATTCATGCTTTCTATTAACCATAGATAAGTCCTGTAAAAAAAACAAACTTATGACTAGTCATTAAAACCTTTTTAAACATAAATATCAACATTTATCTACGACTGATTGTAATTTTTATCATCCCACGTAGAAACATGTATATAATGTAGCATTATTGAATACTATTAAAATGACAACAACGACAATTTAATTCTAAATCAATGTTATTTAGATCATTTGATAATCTAGTGATATCTTATTAATTATTAAGTATAATAATTGCAACACCATTTGCCATTATAATATAATAATTAGAAATTTTAATGATAACTGAGATTGGATTAAAATGGCGCACAATAATACATCTTACTAATATTATAAATACGAAAGTTTAGATGGATGGATGTTAGTTAGCGTTTGTAGCCTAAACGGTTGAACGGATTTCCATGAAATTTGGCACAGGTTTAGAGCATAGTCTGGAAGAACACATAGGCTACTTACTCTTGTTTTTTTAATCCACGCGGACGGAGTCGCGGGCGACAGCTAGTATTACAATAAATACCATAATTTATTTTGTTAAAAAGTAGATAATAATACTGTTATTAAATTGAAATGATCTGCTTAGTAATAAAAAAAATTAAAAACACATGAGAAAGAGGATTTTTATAAAGTCTGAACTACTTAGATAATAGTGAAGAGTTTGTTTTAAAACATTTTTCTTGTGTTCAATATACTTGTTATCCAAAAAAATTGTGCATTTGAGCGTCATTTTAAGTCAATCTTGTAAAGGTTTTTAATTTCTAATTCTGACTACTAAAAATCAATTTCATAAACTATGAGAATTTGCAATATTAAATTCAGTCTTTTTAAAAAAATGTCACGAAACTTTGAAATTCGGTTGAAAAATTTGCTTAAAACTGAATTTGATATTTAAAAGTTTGAATTTGGAATTAAAAATCGATTAATTATGTACTGAAAGTAAAGCAATAGAACAAATTCGTATCGTCCTTCGTTTCTTGTAACATTTTCATATTGTCTTCCAATGTGTGTGTGATCTAATATAGTATAGCAGAGTTCTATTAATTTTTAATGATTATAATGGTTATTTAATTTGAACAATTATTTTAATGGTAAAAACAATGCGGCATGACAATTTTAAACAACAGTTCCATTACATTTAGCCACGAGCCCTCGCTATTTGTATAGGTACTGTTGTACAGGATTAGAAACATGTTTCTCATCGGAACATGTTTCTAATTTTACAAACATGTTTCTATTTATTTACCATTTAATATAGATTTTTGTAGAGACATGCATATGTATATAATTTGAAATAATTATTAGTTAATAAACAATAGATTTTTCGATATTGGAACATGAATATTGTTTAACCCATTAGTCTAATATGTAATATAAATTAGATTTTCAATAATTATTGTTCTAAACTTTTAAATTATAAATATTTATACGACTATTATATTATAATCTAGAGTTTGTTAAATATTTATTTAATAAAACTAATAACATTGGAAGAATTACGTTTACATCGTTCTTTATTAAAATTTAATAATACGATAACTATAAATTCTTATCAACTCAAATTGTAAATGAAAAAATATACGAAGTACCAAATATACAAATTTTAATCTTTGCGATTTGTTTTCTTTTGTCTCCCAATACTCATAATTTAAAAAATACTGGAAACTGGTCGTGGAACTCATAATAAAGAATAGAAAAAAATATGCTTTAAATAATTGATGTAATATAGTTGTTAAATAAAGAATTATCGACGATTACGTGACGTCACAAAAACAATTACATGTCCCTCTCTATTACTCGTTCCGCTCTCTTTCACACACCGCTCAAGAACATAACAATGAGTATTTTTTTCGTGCGTAAGAACGACGTCCATAGATTAATAGGAAGTTATGACGTCAATTGTCATATTGGAAATTCAGGCACTAGGATTATTTTTGATTTTGACACTTTAATTCATCATCTTTCTCCTTATCCTGACGCAACAGGTTTTAGTCCCCCACATAACTATCATACGTCATCTCAGTCATCACTTCCTTCTTGATCATGTCACCATTCACGCAATCCATTCTTCTCTTTCTAGGTTTTGACACTTTAATTATTAAAAAAAATTTCAAGCTAAGATTCTATGTTGGTGAGAATGTTGTGTGTGGAAATAAAATCCAGTAACTAAACTAGAAACAGTAACATAAATATAAATTTCATCACGTTCTTGTTGAAAGCGATACAAACTCTGTAATCAATGACAAAGTTTCCTGTAAGTTATATTGAACAATGATATTCGAGTTGAAATATAGTTAACATGGGCCATTTGTGACACACGGCACTTGCGGTTATCTAGCAAAAGAATACATGATAAATGTTCTATTCATCGATTTAAAATCCCGAAACACTTTTATTAAAACAATGTGTATATCGTAAAAGATTTAGAAATAAAACTATTTTTAACGGAGGCATGTGTATTGATAAAATATGTATAGAAAAAGACATAGAAAAAAAGATGACATCGACAATGCGTTCTAATTTTAAATGATTTAAATTCTTTTACTTTTCTAATGGCTTGAGACCTAAAAACATGTAAAAACTCCTTGGACACAATGATACCTTTCAAAAGAGTAAATACTATATTTTTTGTACATTAATTTGATCGATAGTGATTCATACAACGCGTACATTATACATAATAATAATTTAATACAGAAATAAAATAAAATGTACGTTTTAATTCAAGTCGAATTAGTATAAAAGTGATGCTTTCTTTTTTTCCCATACTTCTTTTCCTTTTAGCCTATGTCACATTTATTTAGAAAAAAAAGAAAAGCTACCCTTATTAACTGTGCATATTGTCGACAATTCAAACTGGCAATGCAAAGCAAAGTAACTTCTAAACAAAGTATTGTTGGATATCTTTTGTTGTACAACCGCAATAGCCATGTGTCAGTAACAAAGTTAGCAGACAAGTAGACATCGACACCGCGGGGGAAATGTCCCGCTGAACTTACGAAGCCACGTAATTGAAAATACGATTTCAAATTTATGTTTACCCATCTAATAAAGTTGACGGCAACTTGGGAATTATTGAGTAGCAAGTGTTGGTATTCTGTTGTTAGAGTTAACCGTTAAATCCCAATGACGAATTACTTTTATTACACTAGTTGGTAACCGCGACACCATCCGTGCATTAAATGATTAACGTATCTCACAGGAACCTGACATTTTTGGAGATGAATCGTATTCTATATGTTACTCCAGACTTAAGATATGTTAAACCGTCGCAGAATTATCGAGTAAACACAAAAAAAAATTAGTATATCCCACAAGAACTGTAACTATTTCTGGGATCAGAAGCCTATTTGTTCTTCCAGATCATTCTCTAAATCTGTACCGAATTTCATTGAGATCAAACATCCATCTTAACTTTTGCATTTATAATATTAGTAATTGACCACAAGCTTATTCTTTACCTAACCAATGACCATAATATTATTCGGGATATAATGGGTTTGTATGAATAGAATATATTGTATGTAAGGGTTAGATGTATATGTTAGTGACTTTTTTAATTCTTTTTAGCTGAGTTTCACCAGTAGAAACCTATTCTTTAACATGTTATCGCGATTCTATTATACAGACGCGCGTTCACGTCGTTTGTCAAAATGTCTCCTTATCTGTGAAATGATTCCGCGAATGTTTTGCCTTTTGTTCTCGAATGTTCGATAACGTTACTACATTTGATGACTTGTTTGTCAGTGGAAACTGTCTAGTTGATCAACATTAAT